CCTCCTATCTCTCCTCTTTCCTCTTACACACTCTCATTTCTCATGTCCTCCTCTCACTATCAAATCTTTCAAACTTTAAGTAATTACTCTTTTTCCACATTGTTCAGCTAACATGACTATAATATGAGATCATTCTGAATTTCATATTCATCACTTCTGAACTCTGCAAATTGGCAGGGAAATAAAACCTATATGGTATTAAATATGTATTTTAGACATATAGTTCACAAACTGCCTCAGACCAGATTTATTGGAAATTCTTGAGGGACAGAATTATAGAGTTTGGGACAACGCTCTCAAAATACTGGATTGAAACTACTGCTTATAAAGTCTCCATATTGTTGGTGAATCAGAATTGGAATTTTACTGTAAAACAGACAAAATCTAACAAAATTGGTGTCCAGGTTGCTTGATAGGAGTGTCCGTATGGTAGTAGGAAATGAAGCAGAAGCTTGCCAAGTCAGCTGTTGGAAGGAAAAGGGAATTTTGTAAAGTACATGTGGACAACTCAAATGCCCTTATGACTGTGGAACTTAAAAATTTTATCAATGCAAATTGCCTACTAAGAAGCCAGGCATTAAGTTTCTGAGGAACTTATCAGTTAAGGCATAAAGTTGTTTTTATTGTTAAGTATCATCTAGTTTGCTTTGACTCATAGTGACCCTATATAGGGTTTCCAAGGATAGGTTTGTCGGTTTGAACTGCCACATTGCAGTTTTCAGTCCGTTACTTATGCTACAGTGCCACACAAAACCCAAGCGTGAATTACTTGTTACCAAAGATAACCACGATATTAGATAGACGATAAGACTCTATTTTTAGAAACAGTTTTTCTTATACAAACCACACACATACAGAAAGGTAGAAACAGGTACTTGTACATTTGTTTCTGTTCAACTACCAATCAAAGTTTTATATGAAAAGAAATCAGAAAAAAAAAAATTAAATGACCTTAAAATTAAAAATTTTAAGCTAATAATGATGGATTTTTAAATTATTGAATTACTACTTCTCATTTTTTTTTTTCCTTCTCTCATGGGTATCCCAATGAGGTCTGTCTTTCTTCCTTTCTGCCTATTTGAGGCAGAATATGGAAATAATTATTCCCTTGTTACTTAGTAACTTGATCCAATCCATATTACTTTTATATTTTGACACATTGTCTTCATTTTATAATTAACACTATTTGAAAAATAAATCTTGAAAATTAATTATGGATTTCCATACCTCTCTTCTCTTGTTTTTAGTTAAGACCATCAAAATCTGTTTCAGGAAGCCTTGGGCATTGACTACTGTAGAAATTCTAAAGCTGTGTGCCAGGATCAAGTCCAGGACAATCCAATTTCTTGTGTTTGGATGAGGTGACTGATAATATGATTACTGAATCCTTAAAAGCATGTAAAATTCCATTGCCTATGTTCTGGGCACATTTATGTATATTCATTATTCTTATGAACCAATGATCTAAGAAAAGGAGTCCCAATGGATTAGAATCCTTCTGCTGATAGTAAATTGCCCTACTCAAAGAATGTTTTATCAACACCAATTTCTGGACACTAAACATGGGATATAACATTATATAACCCTAATAGAATTAGTCTTTTGCTGATAGTTTAGAATCAGACACACCTGAAGTTATTCTCAGCCCTAGTAATTGCTTTATGAATATTTAAAAGTATTCAAGAAGCCTCCAAGTATTCCTTTGTAAAGTGGGAATCATAATAACTTATTTGGCTATTTCAAAGATGAGAAATGAATGAAAAATATCAGCAAGCACATTGTTCAACATATGATTCCCTCTCAATATTTCCTGTTGTTGCATGCTCTCCATGAGCACCATTTGACAACCTAGTATTGTTCATAATGGAAATAAAATGACAGGTGAGACAAGATGAAGGAGGTTCAGAAAAATAGACCATTACTAATGTGAGATAACTACAAATTTTAGAGAAGAATAAATGTTTCAGACTCTACTAGTAAGCTTGCTCATCTAGAGAAGCAGGATGAAGAACAAGCCAAATGAACATCACAGATAACAGTGTAAATGGTGTCCTGGTAGATCAGTGGTTAAGAACTTGGTAGGACAGTGGTTAAGAAAAATCTCCACAGTTTGAACCCAGTATCCACTCTGTTGAGTCCTAGTGTGGTACTGTAGTAAAAACAATGGATCACAAGGTTGGTTTGAACTGCAAGGTACATGGCTTAGACTCACCAGTTGCTACTCAGAACCACTATACATGGTCATTATGATTTGGGACTGCCTTGACAACACTTAACAACAACAACAACCCAATCTGTAGAAGAAAGATGAGACAGTCTGTTTCCATAAAAATATCAGCCTTGGAAATCCCATGAGGTAGTTTTACTTTATCCCAAAGAATCACTATGAGTCAGAAAAAACTTGATGGCAATTAATTAGTGCAGTATCTATTTGATTCCTGGTATGGTGCTGTAAGATCAGCACTGGACTGGGAACCACATGTAGTTAATTCAAACCCACTATCTGCTCCTCTGAAATCCTATACAGGCTAGCTACAAGTCAGAAATGCCCCGATGACACTTAAACACGCATATACACACAATATTGATTTAGAATGCACATTTGATGCCATACCTAGCAATTAAGTAGATCTTAATATAGCAACACAAATAAGGAAAACTTAAAAGACAAATATAAGTTGTCTAATAACATATCTATAGTATGGGAAAATTGAAATGTTTTAAAATTACTAATAGAAAAACTTTCATTTTTTTATTAGGATACTTTGTCCAACAGTCGTTGGACACATTATCAGGGTGACCCAGTACCTGGAAAAGGACATCATAGTTGGTAAAGGGTCAGTGACAAAGAGGAAAAACTTCAACAAAATTAAATGACACAAATGTTACAACAATGGTGAGCTCAACCATGACAAGAATTACGAGGATGGTCCATGACCAGTCATTGTTATATTCTGCTGCACATAGGATCTCACTGTGAGTCAGAGTTGACCGCACTCAACTAAAAACAACACCATGACTACACATGCATTTGGTGCTTTATTAAAATAACGATTATTTCCTTTTATACATCAGCTTAAATTCTTTTTAAAAAAATTCTGGTGTATTCAGTGTTATAATGAAAAAAGTATATTTATGGGGACAACTCCCTTTTGATTTTCTCAATCTGTCTTTTTCTTTGCACAAGAGGAACCACAAAACTGAACTTGGTATCTTTTATGCCTCTGAGATTCCACTATTTTTGGTCTCATTCTCTCAATAAACAAAGTTCTTGCTTTACATTTTAATGCTTTATATACAGTGAAAATCATTTTATCATAGATCTTAATATATTTCACTTTATTAGTCTTTGCACTCTGGTTCATTAATTTTAACTACCTTATAGTAGACCACACTTTTGCTACATCAGAATTTATTTATTCTTTCTCCAACTGATGGGCCTTTTCACTGTGCTATAAGCAAACACATTTTGTTGCATTAAGAAGAGAGGAGTTATGGTAAAGCATCAACATTCACTAAAACAAGAAGCATTGATATATGGATACATTTCCTATTATCCTGAGAAATTCTGTCTCATAATATTACATATGTGAATAAAGAGATACCTCTAGACATAAGTATGAAATTTATGGGATTTGCCTGGTTCTCCATTTTCTCACTCTGAATCCTTGTAGCCAGGTTATATCATAGTCAGGAATTAAGAAACAAGTAAAGAGAAGCTGACCAAACACATGAAATCCCTGCCAAAATAAATACAAAAAAATGCAGATAATTATAGAAAATTTACCCAGACTAGCAAGGACATATTTCTGTTGAGGTTAGTAATGTCTCTGAAAGTGTAGGGTCAGAGAAGGTGATGAGTAGACTGAGACTTGCTGCATAGATAAAGGAAACATACCAAGAAGATGACATTTGTCAGATATCTCACAAGTAACTCCATTCTGTTCATTATCTCTATATTCTCACCTTACAACTGCCCCCAGATATACTGCTAGATAAAGATGGATGTTTCTTTCCAAAAGAGAAATTAGGGGACTTCAGCTTGAGTGCCAACATTAAGATATTCAGTTCACTCTTCAAGGCTGAATGATAAAAATGAAAACTCTGTGCTTGGAAAGAAAGGAGAGAGAGTAGGACCAAGTTTCTGTGAAAAGTGATGGGAAGCAGCCTCCCTCCTGACTAGTGAGTGGGTAAGTCACAGGTAACTTATTTGCAGTCTCTGTGGCCCTTGAGATTTCAATATCCAAAGCTTCTCATTAATCAAGCTCTTCTACTGTCATTCTCCTCCCAGGAAAGTACAAATCCTTACAAACAATACTTAGAGAAGGAAAAATGTATGTTGAATGATTCCTTCATCCTAAGAGTCTAGGTGTATATGATCTTCTCATTTCATTCCAAACATATATTATTTCAAGTTCTTTGTACACACAAACATATTTCCCTTCTATAAGTATATTAGTGTTCTTCCTTAATATTCAAAGGTATTGCTACAATAATAACAATTTCAGGAACACTGCCCATGTTCAGGCTAAAATTTATACTCTTATTATATGGAGATATGCTTCCTATATAAATATAAGTGATAAAATAATAAATTTATCCAAGTGATTCTCAAGGCTGATTCTATGAATGAATGATAGATCTTATTTTTTCATCTAACATTTAGCATAAATGTTAAATTACATATAGGGTAATTGTTGTTTTTAAGTGCCATCAAGTCATTTCTGACCCATAGTGACCCTGACTGGTAAGCTTAAACCACCAACCTTGTTGGTGAAATGACTTTGCAGTCCAACACATTAATCCACAGTGCCACACAGAATTCCATATAGGCTAAT